CTGATCTCTCAATAATTATCACCTTTTCAAAATATAAGTGGATGAATTTTTATTTGAAATTGGAATAAGATAGCAAAGTCAGAAAAGTCAGAAAAAAATCTTGATCATGAAAGTCAAAATGAAAATGTTGGCTGCGTGGATTGAGCTCAATTTTGTCCATCTCGATCAGTGACAGTGTAACTGAAAATGAAACAGGATATACATACATGTGCGTACTACTGTGTACCGGTAGCTACATGAGCCATTCTCTGACAAAGTGTACAAGTTCTTGAGTATTGATATGTGAATATCCCATTGTCTGCAGAAAGAAGACCGGGTTGTGTGGTCACTGTGATGTCATTAAAATTGAAGAAGATTGTATGTACATGTACGTGGATTAGATGAAGAAAAAAAAGGAATAACTACGAGGTTTATAATCATGAGATCTTGGAAAGAGTAGTAAAGCAATTCAGCGCATTACATGGACAGTTTAACAACTAAATTATTCATACCCTTACCAAGTCTTGTAAATCTTTAACTACCAGGTATGTGACAAATAGGTTTGTCCAAATTTATGTTTCAATTTGACATATTAAAACTAATATCTAAAAGGATTCCACAAAGGCCCTTATTCAACCAGTCCACCTTTCATTCCTGAGTTACCCAAAACACACAAAAACATCAAGTTTACAAGGGGTATGAATAATTTAGCTGTTAACTGTATATCTACATGTAGAATGAGATGCAGAAAGGCACAGGTGTAGAATAGAGCTTACTGCTTTCTGGCGCTCACCATATCATCTAGTAAAAGCAAGAAGGACATAAGCTCTGTGTAAATTGATGTCACTTTGGAGCCACAGGGGGCATACACTCGTATACCGTAACACAGAGTTAACGCCTGTCTGGCTCCAAACACAAGACGATGTGGGTAGAGACGTCCTTCTGGCTCTCGGCAGGTGACACGAAACCCTCTCAATCACCGGGAGGATCGTCTCCACTTTCTGAACAATCGAAGAACATGTCATGACTGACGTTGCACTCGCATCATAGCACCGCAATGTCATTAGTCAATCAATTACATGGGGAGGTGTCAGTTCAGTCTATGTAATTGATACAGACTACCATGTATCAAATGCACATTACATCTTCAATAATACATGTATCAGGTTTTTATTTGCTTGGAAAATGCAGCACATGCTTCAATGTGGCTCGCTTCAAGTGTAGGATATGGTGATAAAACAAATGCTTCATTTTGAGTGGTCTTTGAGGGGCTTAACTTGTTACACACGTCAAATGTGCATAGATTATCATGGATGATCATCCTGTGTTTAAATTAGTACATTAAACACAAACTGCAAGTACAGCTTGGTCAGTTGAGCTGAACTATTCCATCAATGTGTGAGTAGGTATGTCTTCATCAGCTTGAGATTGCCAAATAGCCCCTACTTCTGATTTGGGAAATAAGCCCGAAGTTACAAATCGCGTCTTCATCAGCTCGAGACTCGACCTCGAAATTCAAAACTAGAGCTCGAGAAATTAGCTCGTGATATTTTGCTCAGCGTTCATGCATAGATAGCGGGATATTTTGCAAACTAGCACAAGATAACTTGGGATGATATCTGGACCAAATTTCCGCTAATTGCAACTGCTGGCTGATGAAGACGCAAATTACCTGGATAGTTTGCGATTGGGATAGTTAAAATAGCGGGTTATTTGGCAATCTCGAGCTGATGAAGACAGGCCTACTGAGTACCATGGGCACCACAGACAATTTTGTGTGTGTGTGTGTGTAGAATTCCCAGCTGTGAGTTGTGAAGTTCAACCAATTCAGTACATCATTTGGACGATGTCCCCATTCCTAGCTGACTTGGCTTACTTCCTCATAAGAGACAACAGCTGATACCTCCTGAGCATGGTTCTGAATGATGTATGGCATGTCAGAAACCTCTGTCTTGAATATTGGTCACTCTGGTTTTTCAGAACTAGCCCATTGAGTGGCCATCTTGAAAATGGTCTGTAGTCAAATCAAGAGTGTTATGTTTTGTGGACAATAGATCGTCACAAACTTGAAAAGTTAGTTGTCACATAATGAGATCAATTTAACTTGGCCTGGCACTCAATATTTCATATTTTACTCTTTCACCAAATCTTCACCAACTCATTTTATGTTACATCAGATCTGAAAGATCGATGTAGGTTACATAAGGCAAGACATCTTGAGCATTTCCACTTGCATGCTTGTTCGTAATGTGATATGTAATTGTTAGAACAAATGAAAGTGATCTGTACACACGTGAGAGCACTTGTTGTGGAGTAAGGCAGATATTTTTACTTTCAATGTTATACTTCAATCTGTTCAGCAATCTTTAAACAGTGGTGCTAAAACTTTCCTCACTCTCGGTTTATTGACTAGCTACCTGCTTTCGATTGTACACTCGTATTGTCATTAAGCATGATTTATTTTAATGTTTGTATATCAATGGGGCACCAAAGCTCTGCTCTGTACAACAAATGTATTTTGTATTTCATTTTCAAATACTCTATGCCATGCTTAACTGCAGTCTATCATTCACACATTTTATTGTCATGATTTTGTAATAAAGCTTATTCTCTTTTCTTTCTTCTCTCATTTATGGATATTGGGTAAGGGGAGGGGGGGGGGGGGTGTTTGCTAAAAAATGTGCCCCCCCCCTCCCCATTGTGCCTGTGCCCCCTTTCACATTTTTGATGCAAAAAGGCACTTGAAAATGTGACAACTTTCATTTTCTCATTTAAAAACGAAGAAGTTATTTAGCTTGTCAGAGATTTTTGATAATTGTGCCCCTCCCCTTTTTACAGACTCCTTGCTCCGCCCCTCTTCGCACTGACTTTATGTACTTGACTATGGAGTGAAAGTTTTATGCTGCATTTTTGACAATGGACAGAATGTGTATTAATGCCTTGCGAGGGGAGAATCACGAACATAAGGGAATCTACAGTGTATTTATATATGAAAGAAACAGGTACTTATATGGCCTGTAATGTCATTGTTAGTGGTGAAATTACATTTATGTTGACAAATTAGGAATTCATTTTATTTCATTGATACATATCAAAATCATGTTTGGATTCTGCTTGTTTGTAAAACATTTTTTTGTTGTTATTTTTCCAACCACAAATTCTCGTTTAAATCAATTGTTGCCGAGAAGACAGATTTTTTTTTTAATGTATTAAATAATACATTAAAATTTATAAAGAGAATTTACAGTAGGTTCATATACTTCAGTGATGAATATTCAAGTGTTAGTAAATGAAATAAAGTAGATGTACTTGATAAATGAAAAGCTTAAAGGGAAATATTGATAGAATTTATATTATTAATTTTATTTTAGGATTTTTAATGAGACTAGTATATATTGATAGTATTTGATGCATTTTGTAATGCATTTTACGTAGACGAATCTTAGACCCACCCAAATGAATTTCTTGATGAACTGCAAGAGGAATTGCTATTGTTTCTCTCACTTGTCTTACAATTTTTTTATGAAGTCATCCATGGAATATGTATGAACTGGAATTTGTATTGTGCTAATATTGCTCATTTTGTAATATTAAAGGTAAAGACCAGTATTGGAAATGCCCCAATTTCAAAAAATGAAATGGAAGCTCTCATTACCAATCATGTGAAAGAATATGTTTTGACTAATACATGATGATAAAAAATTTGCCGGGAAACCGCCTACTAATTCATATATTTGGTAAATTTGTTTCTCTCATGGTCTGTGAGAGATATAGGGTAGTCCCATATACATCTTTCTGTGTATAGTGCTTGTAACTTTACAAAGAATGGGCCAAATTTCTTATCATTTTGATGATTCCAGAACCTTGCAGATGCTAGATGTTAGATGATCAACCTTTTATGATCGATTCCACAACGTTTCTTTCACAATGCAATTGCATGACCATTACTGGTCTTTACCTTTAATATTAATATTGTATGTATGCCGAGAGTTAGAGGGGTGTTAACTCGTTTCATTTTTTAGAATTAAACGCCTTTCTGGTTCTCAGCCATCATGTATTGTCTTGGAATATTGAGGAGATGAATTTTGTGAAATGATAATTTTTGTTTTTGTTTCCAATGAAATGATTTTTTGGTCGGTGTGATACAGTATGGGATATTGTTTCATTTGTTGACACCGTCGTTGTTTATGTGCATGGAGGAGTGGTAGGAGATGATAATAATGCAAATAATAAACAGTAAAAAAACACTATGGAATGTTGTCTTGACATATTTTATTCTTGGTATATACATGCTGTATTTAGTGATCACGTGAAGTGGGATAGAGGCAATGGGGGAAATGCTCAGTACATATTGAGGGTTCAGTGACACAAAGACGTAACTCCATATTTTGCCAAAATGGCTAGTGAAACATAGACAGGCCCAAGTGGACCTCTATCTTTAAACCACTTTTTTCAAAATGGCAAAAATGGAGTTACGTCTTTGTGTCACTGACCCCTCGATGTACTGTACACGAGAACTCTAGGTATACTGAGGGAATAGATTGAGGACGGTATCAATTGAGAGAGGGTAAGAAGGGAATCAAAGAATAAAGAGTAGGTCAGAACGGCAGCTGAAAGTGAGTGGGAGAGACAGAGAGAGAAATAATAAAGAGAGAGAAAGAGATGGAGAGACAAAGAGGGAAAAAGAAAGAGAGATAGAGAAGAGGGAAAGGAGAGGGGAAAAGGGAGAGGGAGAAGAGAAAGAGGGAGAAGAGAGGGAGAAGAGAGGAAGGACATAAGTCCATTTATTATATACTGTAAACTCTACTACTCCTTGAAAGCACCTCACCCCAAGATACATTAAAATATCTCTCTTCTCTCCTCTCCCTCTTTCTCTTTCCCCTCCCTCTTTCTCTCCCACACAAATGTATCTAAAGGCTGGTTTAGTGAACCAATACACATTATAATTTTATGATAACAAACTGCTTTGTTACATCCTCTTATTTCTCTCTCAAAATAATGAATCATGAGGCAACAGTATATTAATATAATGAACTGGTAAGTTTATTCATGAAGTTAGTGGGTTGATTCTTCTTGGGAAGTTATTTACAGATTAAGTGCAAGATATCCCCCAGCTTTGGGAAGGATTTTTCTTCTTCTTCTGACGTTCATGGTTTTAATTTGTTAAATACTTTCCTGAGGTAATCAAAGGACTCCATATACTGGTAACATATTTTTTTTTAGTATGTACTAGATTTTCTGTATTTGGTGAAAATATTGATCACAAAAATAGAGCCAATTAATGATAACATGCATTCATCTATATTTTGTGCATGATTGGAGCTAAAATAAACCAAAGAGTAAAGATAAAAGGAACAATTATTTCCCACTATGAAGTTATATTTCACAATGAATAAAATGCCATTATCTACATGTATTTACATCTGGACTTTTTTTGCTTATTTTTTATATTTTTTGCCACAAAATATTTTACCTTATTACATGATCAGAAAATTGGTCAACGTTAACAAATAAAATGATAAAAAGAAAATTATGTATCAAGTGGATTATTAGGCTGATCAAAAATATGTTGCAATGAACATGATTTATGAGGCAACTTTCATTTTGATTTCAAAACATGAAATTAAATTATTCAACACAAGTCCATATAGCAGCAAATATCAAGATCATCTATGAAAAAGTTATTTTGAAATAAATTGTGAAATTGCAAAATCATCTGCCCCCAAAAGGACCAGGCATTCCAAAAGTTGAGTTCAACCATTTAAATCAAAACTGCAGAAAAAAAAGAATAAACCATAAAGCTGTATTTTCCTGTTAACAAATGGGGAAAGTGATGAGTTACAAATAAAAGAAGATTTGTACTAAAGTTAAAAGACATAAAAATACATAAAAGCTTTAAGATTAATTATACAAAAATTGAATGATGACATGGAGCCCTTATTCTGGAAGACTCTTCTTCTTCTTCTTCTTTTTGACGACCGTCACTTCTTCTTCTTCCGGTTCTACATGCCCATTTGACTCCTCTCCCCCAAGACTCTTCTTCTTTTTCTTCTTTTTCTTTGGTGTATCTTCCACTTCTTCCTCTTCCTCTGCTTGCTCCTTCTTCTTTTTCTTCTTTTTCTTGGGTGTTTCTGTCTCCATTTCCTCGGGTTCAGACTCCGGCTCCACTTCTACCTTCTTCTTTTTCTTCTTCTTCTTGGGTGTTTCTGTCTCCATCTCTTCTTCTTCTTCTTCTTCTTCTTGCATCTCAGATGATTTCCTCTTCTTCTTTTTCTCTTTCTTCTTCTTGCGTGCCAATTCTGCTTCTACTTCTTTGACCTGTGGCAAAAATTGAGAAAAGAATAAATAAAGGAAATGTTATGGTAGGTTCTTATGCATTTTGGGAGAGAAGAAGTTTCAAGTGGTGGCCGTGGAGCCAGTTAGACCAAGTCTAGAGTGTGGACTAAAGTAAATTTCTTAAACTCAACAACTCAAATGCATTCATTTCATTACATGAAACACAGCCAAACATATATCTACAAGCAGAGAAGCTTTGTAAGACGCATGTAACCTGTGTGCAATCTGCAAATAGAGACAGATCATACATGCAGTTCTGGGGGGTGTTTCACAAAGATCCTAAGTTGAACTTATCTCTAAGTTGGACTTAAATATTATGGAAAGCCATTAGCATCTTTGAAAATATTTTGCAAAAGTTATTTTGAAAGGCATTAATTGTTTATTCAAATCATTCATATTGTCTATCATCAAGAAGACTTCATGTTCTGGATGTGGAATTCATAAAAAGTCTAAAATACTTGAATTTCTGCTTTTGAATATATTTCATTTTAAGACTCCAATGGCTGTCCATAATTTTTAAGTCCAACTTAGAGTTAAGTTCTACTTAGGATCTTTGTGAAACACCCCCCTGGTTTCTCACGGGGACTTTGACACTGCTAAGGTAATTACAATAGCTGATGAGATCAACATCACTTTTACAGCTGACTAGTTAACGTACTGCGTTTACCACCCACTGACTTAAAAAAGATCTGCACTGTAATGCATGGCACATAGAAACCCCGGATTGAGCGACATTGTTTTGAGTATTTAATATCTTTGACATGATTAATCTTGAAGCACTAGTTTGGCCAGGGGGATTAGACCTCACTGCAAGGTCACTAATAGGTGGTTATCTCATCAAATAAGCTCTCAATTAACATAAGAAAAAGGGGATCATGGGGGACCAACAGGCACCGAATAGGCATTGTTTGCTATATAGAGGGCGCAAGAAGCTAAAAGTAGTGCAGTGGGACTTTAAAAATGCATCTTGATACAATCAAAATTACAAAATATTCCCCCCCCCCCACAACAACTAACTCTAAAGTATGAAACATAATCCTCCGAACCAAACTCACCTGACCGAGGGCTTCCTGCATAACATCAATGTTCTTACGCGGAGCCGTTCCAGTCTCATAGAAAGACAGTCTCTCTTCTACTTGATCCTTTAGCTTCTCACCAAACACAGAGTTGGGTATGTCTGCAAAGAGAACAATTAAAGGGATTGGGTATCTTTGTCTCAGATTCTAATACAAAATCCTGGATTTAGCTCATGCTGCAATGATAATTATAAACCTTTAGGTCAGTCAGGAATCCCATATCTTTTACAAGCCGACCGCCTGTCTGATTATCAAGATATTTATGATTGGAAATCAAAATTTCAAAACCGTAAGGAAACGGTTTTTATAATCCTTTTATACAGTCTACGGGGGAAAATGAGTAAATTTGCTAATTTGAAAGTGTATGCTATGAATTATACAGTGTTCTAGGTTTTATGAACACTACAAATATGTCTGAATCAGTTACATTAATCACACAAAGATATTTGTATATGAAAATGGCACTTGTACCATGCCTACGAGTCTAAACGTTGGGGATAGTCGATTGGTAAATTAAGAGCTTACATGCAAAGAGAGTGAAGGAGTGGGCTGATATAGACACATCTAATTTTCAACACTAAATTGACTTGGCTTATTAAAAATGGAAATGATCATCATAATCATGAGGCCCATAGTTTTGGAGAAATTTAAACAATCTGTGAGACTTCAGGGTTGAACATCACAGCAGAGGAATGCTCATGTCACTAAGTTAACATTCACAAAGATCTTGTTACCAGCAAAATTATTAAAACATGTTCAATGATAAAAAAGAAGAAGCCCTGTAATGATGCTAGAGGATGGGACCAGGGCATAAAGACCCTGACACCGAAGGTTCATCATGTTTATCTTCCTCCTGGTTGCATTCATCTCATGAACATGTGGGAGAGTTCAGAGATGCCAAGAAAAGGAGGTTTTGATGGTCAAATAAACATATTAAGGGGATTCTAATTTTGGACATTTATGTAATCATTATGGTTCTCAACACATGGATATATAATTGAAAATAAGAGGTATTTTGAAGAGGCAAGCTGGGACTTAGGATGTGAGATGCTTCTATCGAGTATCCGAGAGTCAAACAAAAGATCATGGGTTCGAATCTACTGCAGCCTCAATTGTATGTTGATATCTTCCTTCTCTGTCTCATAGACGCAAACAAGGTTAACAGTGGAAACACTGTAGCACATCAAATAGAAACTCCTTGCATAGGAGATTGATCACCTAAGCACATACAGAACCCATGTTACACTTTGTGAAAGGGTAGGAGAAAGCTCTAGGGGGTGTTTCACAAAGATCTTAAGTCAAACTTAACTCTTAGTTGGACTGAACCATTATGGAGAGCCATTTGTAGCCTTAGAACAAAATATATTCAGAGGCAAAAATCTAGTTTTTTTTTTTACTTTTTATTAATTACACGTCAAGAACATGAAATCTCATTTATAATACAAAATAGAAATTATTTGAATCAACATTTTATGCCTTTTAAAATAACTTTTACAAAAAATTTTCAAAGATGCTAATGGCTTTCCATAATTGTAAACTTAGTTCGACTTAGGATCATTGTGAAACACCCCCCTGGACCTAGTTTGCTTGGAACTGACCTGAGAAACAGTCTATCCTAGAGGCCATGGAACACTTATTGGCAAGGTAACGAGAGATGCGACCTTTGTTCTTCTGTGCTGCCCTGCCGATGAACGTGGAATGGAAGATGAGACCGTACTTGGGGGTGTTGCCACGAGTCTTCAGAGCTCTGGAATATAAAGAGGAAAAAAAGAAAATAGGAAACAAAATGTTACATTTAATTTAAATTCAAAAGTTGATAACAAAGACTGGTATTCATTTCAATACTCATGTCATAAATATGAGTATTTTTGGCTTAGATAGAATACTTTGACAAATTTGGTATCAGTTGAAGCTACAAAATTTTACTTTGAAAGTCACACGAAGTACACAGATTTATAAGGACTCTGAGGGGAAACTATCTAATTGCTCAAGGTTGAACAGTTCTGAAAAAGCATATCAGTTTCCATTACACAGTTCAAGCATGCCTAATGACTCGTAATTGGTTTTGTTTAATTAAAGAACTTTCAATGAGCATACAAAACTTGGTGAATGGTTGCATGTTGGCACTAGCCCAAGGATCATTTTTGCCTTGAGAGGGCAATACATGCAGAAAACTATTGATGATAAAAGAGTAATACAACTTAATCGCATCATAACCATAGCCTTTTGTTCATAGGTGTATCTCCCTGCATGCAGACTAACCAGTAGTGCGACTTACAGCCATCTAAATTGTTATGATTAAGCTTGACATCAGATTCATAAGCTTATAGAAACTTTATTAGTCGAGACATAGTTATCGGTACTTGACATTCCATCTGTGGCATCCATACAGTAGATGTATCTCTCTTGTAGTGCATGTCTGACATATCACCACAAGGTGGTGCTATCAACATTTAGACTTATACTCAACAGAAGCTTGAGCATCTCTTGGGGTGGATATGTGCGCATTATAAATGTTATTATTATTTTATTATTATCATTGCATAAATGACAAATCAAATACTGTGTTTTGGTGAACATGTATACCCACACACACCATGTGCAATCAACAAAAATATTGTAGTTCGAAGGAATACTGCTTGCAGACAAATCTAACAATTGTATTCTGTATCATTGCTAATTACTTGAGCTGTCTTGATAGCTTTCTTAATGTCTCAAAAAAACTTATTGTGTAATAAAAACAACACATTCCATAAATAAAACCCTGTAATGATGCTAGAGGATGGGACCAGGGCACAATAAGAACCCTGACACCGAAGGTTCATCATGTTAATCTTCCTCCTGGTTGCATTCATCTCATAAACATGGGGAGAGTTCAGAGATGCCAAGAAAAGGAGGTTTTAATCTTAAAATGTTGACAAAAAATGTTGATATTGACAGAAAATAAATGTCATGAACATCACACCAAGCTAGCAGTGCAAGTTCAAGTCTACATGCATCATGAAATTATGTAGAGGATACAGATGCTGAAAAACAGACTTAGACAAAAGAAAGGATGACGGAGAGTAGATAGAAGTTTGATGGTTCTACAGTTGAGATGAGATTGAGTTTGAGATTGAGATTGAGTTGAGATTGAGTTGCGATTGAGTGTGGTTACCTGAAAAGGGCCTTCTCAGCTCCAAGGATCTGTACAGTAGATGCTGGGTACTTGGCTAGATTGGTCAGACTACCGGCATGTGAGATCAGACGAGCACCAACCTGTGAAACATTGAAAATAGATTCTTCTAATTAGTTAAAGACCCTAACGGATGAAAATACAACTTTATATCAATGGAAATCTGAATGAATGTAGAATATAAATATAAAGGAATACAAAATATTTTCTCTTTCAATATTGCACAATAGCAGATTAAAACAACACAGATCATAAATAAAACCCTGTAATGATGCTAGAGGATGGGACCAGGGCATAAAAACCCTGACACCGAAGGTTCATCATGTTTATCTTCCTCCTGGTTGCATTCATCTCATAAACATGGGGAGAGTTCAGAGATGCCAAGAAAAGGAGGATTTAATCTTGAAATGTTGACAGAAAATTTTGAGTCTAGGTAGACACATATAAGTCAAAAGTAGTTCATGTCTTACATGCATGTTTACAGTTATTCACTCCAGGTAGATAGAATATGTTATTTGGAATGAAAACAGGGTAGGTCTATTTGACTCTACCCCAATGATCCTATCAATGGAAAACCAGAATACTAAAAAACACTTAGCACCAATGTCAATCAAATCATGTGAGGTATTGTTGGATTTATTTATTTCCTAAATTTTCAAGCAAACGTCATATCATCCTTAAAGAATGCAAATTGGCTCCATCTACTGACCTGTTCACCGATGAGAGCCGATAGGTTTGGAGCGACAGCGTGCATCTTGTCTTGCAGGTAGGTGTGTAGGCTCTTACGATAATCCGTTAGTGCAATGACCCTGACAGCAAACCTCTCGATGTTGATCAGGTCGATGGGAGAAATGTCCATACCTGTACATGATGCATAGTGGACATGGTGAAAAGAGAATTGGGTTAGAATAAAGAACATTTCTTCCAGGAAAAAAACACATAATATGCATAAATAGGCACTTGGCATATTCCTTCAAAGTGCCCGAGACCTTAAAGGGACTGGATCAGCAGTTTCCATGTGCAGAAGGCCATGATTCGGAGACACTATACTTGGTGGAAATACCATTAATGGGAGTACAAATCTGCACACAGCAAACCCGTTGGCCAGTCAAGAATTACCCCCTTATCGCTCGGAGAGCTTCGGGTGAGGGAAAAGCGAAGCATTACATAAGGTCTTATGGTCACAAAACTGAAGGCTAACCCTGGTGATTGACAACACCCGTTATTGGGTAAACACCCGACCGGTGTCGAATTCCCCATGAGAGCCGACTTCTATGTGACTTTAAGTAAAACCCTGTAATGATGCTAGAGGATGGGACCAGGGCATAAAGACCCTGACACCAAAGGTTCATCATGTTTATCTTCCTCCTGGTTGCATTCATCTCATGAACATGGGGGAGAGTTCAGAGATGCCAAGAAAAGGAGGGTTTAATTCATATCTAATCATGTCCAATACAGACACTACATTTACCTGACAAGGTAATTTAATGTTACAATGGAATTGAAGATTCTAATACCATCAACAAAAGGTGTTTGTAAATCAGTGGAAGGGTAAGTTATACCTTGAAAATAAATTACAAAAATACATTCACTCCCATTTTTACACTCTCCATTTCATTTGGAATTAGCAACAAAATAGTACATGTAGTACCTTTATAACAATAGCAATTTCATTGTATTACTGGTAACAGCAAACACTTGCTGTGTCCGAAAATATTACAAAGAGCATTATCTTCAATGAATCTGAACATTTATAACAAAAAGTGATGTAGTCTTTACACTACATCAGGCCAAGACACATTCAAATACACAATTAATATAACAAAGCAATATTTGTTTGATAATTATGCATTCTAGACAAGGTCAGCTGACATATACAGGGATGGCAGTAAGAATTGATCAGAGGGCCTGAGAATCACCTAAAATGAGCTTTTTGTACACAAAAAAGCCTTAACTATGGTCTGAAAATAACTTGTCAGGGCCTGAATTCAGGCTATTGCCTGAAAATTGGCATCCCTGCATATATAAATGGCGAAAGAATGACCAGATACTGACCCATTGATGACCGTGATGCATCAAGGATGGCTTGAGCCTTGGCACTGTCCATGGTCAGTTCCTCCAGCGCTTCAAGCGAATCCTCGCTAAGCTCCTTGCGGTTCTTGATGTAGTGTGCGACCTTTGCGTAGAGGGCGCTTTCCGGCACGACCTTGACGAGTTCTGGGAAGTGGTATGAGTACCACTCTCTGTTGGGGTTTGAAACAAATTGAAAAGAGTTGAAATAAACATGATAATTTAGAGTTGTGCAATTGTGCAACTGCATACATCAATATACCTGTATTGATGTACACTTTGTTTTCTGTTTGTTTTTCTACAATTAAATCAGAATGAAGTTTGTTTACACTTCATCTAAAAGTAATAACAGGGATGCCAACCTTTCAGAGCACAAATCCATAATCATAAGGCTAAAAATCCGTAATTTGGAGACAAAATCCGTAATTTTCTGCGCGACGCAAATTTTTCTGCACGCTGGCAAGCGCAGCTCCCGCGATAGCACAACAAGTTAAATAAAAGTAACATAGATTCTACCTGTTCATTAGTTGGTGTTACACGATGCATTTCCATTTCTTACTGTATTCTTCTTTAAAAGTCTGTAACTTCTTGCCACGCTTCTTAGTTGTGGAAGACATGATGATTGATATCTAAATCCAACCAACATGAGTTCAGATTGTCGACGAAAATCGACGAACGCTGTGACAGCCTGTGAGAAATCCGACAGTGTACACGGCGCTAGCGTAGCGAGGCCTGGCGCTGGGCGGGCGGTAGCGGCGCGGCCAAGAGAGGTATTTCACCCGGCCCCCGCTCGCGAAGCACATGTTGTATGCACATGTATGCACTGAAAGGCGTGTGCTAGATAACAAATTGTCCAATCGGAAGCCCTGTGGGATTTCTATGCATGGATTCAAGGATGGCTGCGCTGCAATAGTCAAAAGTACGTGCTAAACCTTAAACGTGCTAAACCTTAAAGTGCTAATTTTGAAAATCGGCAAAATCTGCAAAATCCGGAATTTATGGTATGAAAATCGTACCGCCCGTAATCGGCCGATTTCCCGTAGAAATTACGGGAAATCCGTACTAGTTGGCATCTCTGTAATAACACAAAGGGGTATGTCATATATGAAGGTACATGTATGTAACATTGAAGAAGAAAAAAATCACAAGAATTGAAAACATTCATATTTTTGTAGTGATCACGCCCCTCCCCCCAAGTATTCTAGGTTTAATTTTAAAACACAGCAATGTGTAATAAAACAACAGACCATAAATAAAACCCTGTAATGATGCTAGAGGATGGGACCAGGGCATAAAGACCCTGACACCGAAGGTTCATCATGTTTATCTTCCTCCTGGTTGCATTCATCTCATAAACATGGGGAGAGTTCAGAGATGCCAAGAAAAGGAGGTTTTAATTCATATCTAATTAAGTTCAATACAGATAATACATCTACCTAACAAGCTTATGAATATGTTACAATGGAATTGAAGATTCTAATACTATCAACAAAAGGTGTTTGTAAAATAAGTGAAAGGATAATCTATGACTTAAAAATACTTTCCAGTATACATTCACCGCCATTTTCTATGCTCTCCATTACATTTGTTAAGTCTAAATAGGCCTGAAAAGACCTGAAAAACATGTAAATGACAAGTTAAAAAATATATGGCAACAGCCTAGAAACTTGCACCCAAGTACGATATTATTTATGTTAACATGGTATCCATGAAAATGAATGTATCACAACAAATTCCATCTTCACACTACTCACTTTATCCTCATAGAGAATGTATTGATGTCCTTGTCCAGTTGGTCAAGTAAACAGATAGATTGGATGATCATGTTATCTGCTCTGTTCACGTTGAACTTGACCTTAGCCCTTGAGTAGCTGTGACCCAGACCGAGCTGTGCTTTGGCTTCTGACTGTGCGGTCAGCCCCTTGACCAGTCGATGGAAGTGGTATCTCAGACCTGGTAATAAAGAGAATTATCGTGGTTAGATATATTTCTTGTATATGAAGAGAATCAGAAAATTTGGAAGCTTGCATCATATCTGTGGAATCAAGTTATGAATTAGTAAAAGAATATTTGGTCACTCACTTGATATTTGAGCCACATTTTTATTTCTCTTGTAATGTGAGTTGTCAGTGAGTATTCACAAACAAAAACTTCATACATGTACATTGTGACCAGGTACGATGCCAATCCAAGATGGAAGGGGTGATAGGTTACAAATAGGTCCATTGGAAACTAGACTTAATGCATAACAAGAAGACAATCCAGAATTACAGTCATAACATGGGTGTGAGATGGCATTTATCAAAAGCTTTATTTTCTCAAGAATATTTTACCAGCTACAGATCAGACCTGCCAACCTCTGGAGTTCAAAAACTGTATTCTTTAGAGTCAAAAGTTGTATTTTACTGACAAAAGTTGTATTCTTGAAAATAAACACGGATTGTTACGCGAATCAATGCCGCTTACAGTTTCTACCTACAGGAAGAATTTTTTTTATTGATCATTAGTTGAATATGCATTATTTCGTCACGACTGGTGTGTTCGATGAACCAATAAACATCCCCAAATTGCCGACGTGAGATGCTTGTAGGATACTTTACAGGACAGAATGGACATTTTGCCATTGAAAATGGCAGACGCACACACAAAATATTAATAAATAAAAAAATCAAAATTAAATTTAAAAAAAAAAAAAAAAAAAAAAAAAAAAAAAAAAAAATCATTTTTTGTTTTTTTTTGTTTTGAAAATCGTATTTTATTAAGGAAAATCATACTGTCGTATTTGCTTCTAAAAATCGTACTAAATACGACTAAATCGTACTGGTTGGCAGGTCTGTACAGATGCTACTTATTCATGAATAGGCATGAAGTATGCAGGGGTGATAGTGAGCACTAAAAAAAAAAAAAAAGTTTCCTCCCTCAAAAACGCCCCCTTTGAGTTTAAAAAAAAAAGGAAAAAAAAAAAGAAAGAGGACTGGGAATGGCATTTAACAACATTCCCCCCTTTTGAGTAAGAAGATTGGGAAAACAATAGGAAAAATTTAGAATGAATAGAGAAAATAAGGGAAAAATCAGGAAAATCAGGATGAAATCGGGAAGAAGAAAACGAAAAAAATTGGGAAGACAAAAAATTGAGACAAAATGTATGTGAAGAAGGCTTTGAAGGCAATTCTTTATTGTTTGGTTATCATGTTCAGAATACTTCATGCATTTCATACTTTTACAAAAATTGTGCTATGGATCTTCTTTTCCACAAATGAGACTCTACAAATTTCAGAAGCAACGTGGCCTCAGCCTCAACCATTTTTGTCTTGATATAGTGCAACTGGTTACTCAAAAAGCCTGAAAAGAAGAATTGTTTACCTCTTCCGATCTCTTGGAAAACCCCTCCCGTCTGACAAGGGATACCTAGTTCCTCCTGGATGGACGCTCCTATCTTCGAATCGGCCACACCCAGAGTGATCTTCTTCTTCTTCTTAGCACTCTCTGGCATGTTGGTCTCCATGAAGAGTTTCAAGTCTTCTGTCATCACACCTGGGAGTCAATGAAAGAAATAACAATGTATTAAGGTCAGATATCTTCCTTTAAATGGGGTAATTATAATATTTTCACATTGATCCAATTAAAATGTGTATACCTTAAATGAAAACACATGAATGGTAGTTATATAATAAGTATGAGAAGTTCCTCTTTCTACTGCAAAACTATTATTCTGAATTTGTCAGTGTTGTATGGAAAAAAATTGGGGGGATACAACAAAAATGTTTTTACAAAAAATTCATGGATTCAGAAACAATTGGTAATGAGCAAACCACAAGAGGAAAATAATCAGCGACTTCAGTCTTTCATATTTATACATGATTTATTCATTTAATAAAAAAGAAAGAAAAATGCAAGAGCATAATTTCAAATCAAAAAATTGTATTTGCTCCTTACAAAATTAAGATTTGGAAAGATACATAAGCTAGTCATGTAAACACTTTCTTTTCACATATAACTACTTGGATGGAAATATTGTGTGACAGCATTTTTCAATCGTAGTTGTTCTATTGCACTGTACCTTCAGAGATGCTGTTGATATTTTCAAGTGCGTTGATCCCAGATTTGAAAGGAGAGAAGGCTTGCAGCTTGACCAGCGAGGCAAACTTTCCGAAGTCTGTCACAGATTCTTGAACTTGGTGATGGAGGACAGAGACCTCCTCAAATTCTTTGATTGCAAACAGGCCGTAGCCTGATGCGTGTTCGTATAGCACCATCATAGCCTGAGAGGGAGAAAGAATGTAACATGCAACTGATTGAAATATATCATTTTAATGATTAAATGTACTTGTACTTATTTTGGGGTAGTGTATGAAAAGGGGAATTGACATTGTATCAAGGTGATTTTTCTTTTATTTTTTTTTATTGTCAACTTTTAAATACTACAGTGTACATGTAATTGCCAATAGCATCAGTACATTTTGGTAGCTGAAAAAAAAACATGTAAAAAAACTTTACAAATTATGGCGGTGGCTTGCAGTTTCTTGAATTTCTCTTGAATTCACTTTCCTTCAACCAGGCTTCACAGAGCACTGTAATCCTGGATGCTTTGTGTTTCTTGTTTATGTAATGAACTTCAGCATTCCAGAAATCCATATTTTTGACTTTTTGTATTTTTGTGTCATCGATAAACTCAAGTCTCTGAGATGCAATTACTTAATAAGCCTCACACTCCTGTAGTCTGTAGAGTCCTGTTACATCTGAAATGCAGACCCATAAACATTGTTTGAACTTCCTGGTGTAGGCTTTGATCGTCAGCAGAAAATTCTCTTTAACTTTGTTTTCATTTTCTCCTCATTATTTTCCATAAATTTGAATCATTTCTTCCTTCTTCTATTCTTCTTCTGATATTGTCATGTCTAGATCCTGATCCTCTCTCTTCCAACATGCTTCTTCTGGCAGTTCTGGATTGTTGTTTTGCATTTCCTTTGTCTTTTCTTGATCTTTTCTTGATCTTTTTGTATGCAGCTTACTCTTTATCTTGTTTCTTATTATGCCATTTCCCTTCTCTATTTCTCTACGTATCTTCATCCCATCCTCCTTTGATTTCACTTTAAAGTCCCCTTCATTCTCCTCCTTCATCTCATCTGTCACTTTGCCTCTTTTCTCTAGTCTTAGTCTCCAGTTTAGCTGCTTTATATGTTCTCTTGTTCGACTCTGCAACTCTCTTTTGTAGACCTTTCCTTTCATCACTTTATTTGCCTTTTCCTTGTTGATGCTCAACCCTCTTTTTGTATGCCGTTTTCTTTTTGTGTTTTCCATTTCAAATCTTTTCCGTTTCCTCCATCCTCATTTTAATCTTTGTTTACTTCTCGGGTGCGTTATCCTTTATTTCTCAGTATTTCGTTTCTTCTCCTTTGTGTCTTTCCCGATTTTCTAACCAATTGCACTTTATTTTTTATCCATTTTGCAACAAGCTTCCCCATCGAAAATATCCACGTTTAGGCGAATGATCCTTATTCTCGGACCAACGCCCCTACTATTAATAGCATCAATGTGTTGTTTCGTTTACGGTTGTTGAGTAATTGATTCCCCCCCCCCCCCCCCCCGCTTTAGTATTTCTATTAATTTTATTTGTTGCTGTCGGCTTTCATTCATTCTCAAACTCGCGCTGCCAGCTTCGAAAGTTCAAGACGAGTTTCAACAATTCAAAAATAAAATCTGATCAATAACATTGACCTTTAATGACATTTAATTACTACATTAATCATGCTACATTCCAATACAAATTGATAAATGGGTGTTCTCAATCTAAAATCAAATTTTAAAAGTCATTTCGGAGCCCATCGACCATCACGCCAAAAATCATTTTCATCACGCCAATTTTAATACGTGGGACCACATCAACAACAGGGCGAAATTTTTTCCATACATACAAATTCATCTAAATTACAGGTAAGAAAAAAAATAATGAGGAATAAATGAAGAAAAATGAAGAAAAATTATGAATATTTACCATTCTTAAGGCTATGCAGCACACTCTAGTTTGAAATAACGGAGAAATTGGGTTAATTCATCACTTTTTTTGTCAAAGTCACGCTAGACACATGGCATGGCACGCAGTACTGTTTTTAGGCTTTGAAGTTTGCGGAAATATTATTTTTTAGCAGTGGTAATTATTTTCAATATACATTAAAAAAGGTTACTTAAAGTATAAAAAATATAAATTTAGAAATTCAATTTATTTGCATGTTTTATTCGTTAACATTTATGGCTTAAATTGATTAAAGCTCTAAAGTTTAATCTTTTGATTAGCAACGTCTAGTTGTTGATTGTTGCCGAGGTGAATATTTTGGAACTTTGCTCTTTATTCTACCATTTAGACGTGGATAAAACTCTTTTTAGCATTTGAATTTGACGACAATAGTAAGTAACTATTTTTGTTTACTAGTTCTCGTAAAACTAGAGTTATAAAGTCAGCTTAAAGTATTGAAATCGCTCTGTATTTGCAGAATGGTGAAATATTCAGTCCCAAGCGTTGGTTTTCGTGTAGGCTTAGGCCGAGGCCTACTGACGTCATTCACTCTGCAAAGCACACACATAGACCCTAGGCTAGGTGCTTCTACTTCTACTTCTACGACGATACTCAGCATTACTATCCTGGCTGTGTATTAAAAGCTGTGCTAATGATTCTCAACATTTCAAACACCACTGTACAAAACTCAACTGATTTTATGTCTAAATCGGTACTTAGTCTTAGTGATGATGACACATAAATAGACCTAGTAGGTGTCATAAATAGCAGTAAAATACAATTTTTTTTCAATTTTCTGATGTTAGAAAGAATAATTTCAAAATTCAAATCGAGTCCACTGTCAAACTTGCCGATCAGCCGCATTGACATGATTGTGTGCATCTGTGTGTTTTGAGCGTATTGACTATTCATGTATTCAAATGCTGCCTATTAACACGTAGTGCAGTGCTAAAGCATTGACCATCTGCTGGATCGATGTAGACTAGACTCTTATCATCTAGATCTATGTAGGGAAAAGACAGGGCACAGGAGGAAAATTGTCTTTTTCTTGACTTTAAAAATCAAAATGCAGTTTACCTTTCTTTTTTTCTTGTTTCCAATGATAAAGCAGTTGATCCACCAGCAGCATGGAACTTCATCCAATACTAGAGAAAGGAGAGTGGCTATGCAAACAGAATCTGTGGTATGTGGTGTCAGCTCGCGGGCAACATCCCAGCATGAGGGTTGGCCAGTGTTGCTGCCACATCCCACCAACACAAGGTGGTGGCATCGGCAAGTTGGCTGTGATCGGAGGAGCTAACCCCAATGGACCGTTTGATGAGACACATCTTCTTGAATTTGGTAAAAATCTACTTCAGATAATCATAAGACTGGATTTTTTTCTCGAATTACACTGTCCATTTTTTGTCATCCTGTCATAACCCTATATTACCATGTGTGATTTGGGCTGACATGTCATTGAATCTAAGGAGAAAAACATTACTTTTTGATAGTTTAAAAGTCTTTTCATTTGTGATTTTGTATACATTCTTGAAAATGCAACTCTCTAGATAGTAACATCATCAGTAGGTGCCAGAAGAAAAATGAGGTTTATTCCTTCTCTAATTACATCCTGCAAGATGGTCTGTTATCTATTATGTTCTGTCACTGCAAAGTAATAAGATTTTGAGAAGAGATCATGTCTGATATTATACATCCTCTCTCTGTTCTCTTAACTTGTTTAGATCAGTATGAGTGGGATGAGCCAGAACTGACTGGCTTCACTGCTCGCTATGAGCATGCATCCTTTGTTGCCCCTAGCAACCCAGACAAGGTCCTTGTCTTTGGAGGAGCACAGCAGGACAAGAACCTTAACTGTGTTCAGATCTTGGATCTAGGTAAGAAACAAACTGTGTTGCTTGGTGTAAATACGCAGTCCCTTTCTATTCTTTAAAAAAAAAACTTTTGTTGTTGTGTTTGTTCTCATCTATGTGCTTGACATGCAAAAACCATCTGTTCAAGTCCCAACAAGACAGATCTGTCCTCAAGCAAGGCATTTCATCAACATCCTTCTCTCAACCCAAGAGCCAGGAGACTAAGGGGGCATTAATAAAGATCATGACATAAAATACAACTTTGTCACTTTGGGAGATTACTGTCTGTCATTGAATGACAACTTTTTGAAACTAAAGATGCATGTTATTGTGTTAATCAGTCAAGGTTTTACACTTTTGAAATAGAAATTGATTCTTCTCCCCTCAATTTTTTTAAAGCCTCACTGCACTACTTATAGCTACTTGTGCCCTCTATCCAGCAAACAATGCCTAATCGGTGCCTGTTGGTCCCCCATGGTCCCCTTTTTCTTGAGAGCTGATTTGATGAGATAATCGCCTGTCAGTGACCACGCTGGGTTGTCTAATCCCCCTGGCCAAACTAGTGCAGACAGGCTTTAAAGGTTCTAATACTTGTTCTCTTCTTCCTTAAAGCTACCAAGTCTTGGAGCATGGTACCAACCAGCGGCACAGCGCCCTCCCCCAGGACCTGTAGAGGTAGTGCCTTTGATGGCAGCAAACTCTACATCTTTGGTGGAGGTCAGCAAGGGTCAGAACCAGTACCTGATACAAAGATGCATGTCTATGATGCAGGTATATAACATTACAGTCAAACCTGCTTTAGTTACCACCTGTCTACAACAAGCACATTGTTTGTTTCCCTTGAAAATGGTTTCTCATTGAAACATGTACTAAAGGAACCTGTCTACAAAGACCACTTTTTGTTTCCCCTGGGAGGTTGCTGTAGACAGGTTTGACTGTACTTTGCTCATGTTATTTTTCTTCAAATCAGATGATGAATATCTAGGATTATTTGAATTATAATCTGTTTTAATAATTTTCTTGTTACCAAGAACTCCTACTAAAATCCTGATGCTGGGTTTTAACTTTTACTAAAGTTGGGTTTAACAAAGGAAGTTGGTCTTTAGTGGTCCCATTGTTTAACATGACTATATTCCTTGTGTTACGTTTGACTGAATTAAGAGAATAGGGCCCTAATGTTTTAAGAATTAAAATGTCTATAGTGTAATTCATGCATTTGCCGCAGTGAAATGATGATAAATCCTTAAATTTAATTTAATTTATTAGTAGGTATAACATGACACAGAGCTCTAGTATTTACTTGATTCAATACATTTAGAATACATATTTTATGGAAAGGGGAAAAAACCCAACTATTTCATCTCTCAGGTTTATGTAGTCAGAAGTCAAATTTTACTTTCCTACTCCTTTTGGGAACCTCAGTATCATCCATGAATTATCAGGATTTTTTCTCCTTCTCATGCTATAACAATAGGAAACTGATTAAGAAAGGCATTCTGTACTTGAATGTCGCACAAAGCTGCATGAAAAAAGCACCCTATTGCCCACTGAATTATAAGACAATTTAAGCATGAACAAGTAACATTTTTACTACTTACGGCAAAAAACAATTGTGATTTGTTTGAGGTGATGATGAAGATGGCTTCTTGTATCATGCCAGTAAGGAAGGCTCCTTTTGCTTGAGGTAGGGATATAGATCTTGCCCTTTTACTATTTTACATCCTAATCCTGTTTTTCCTTTGTTTATAAATCAGTGACGAGTGAGTGGACGCAGCCCTCTTCAAGCGGTAGAATACCGGCTGCTCGACATGGTCATGTGATGGCTATGTGTAATGGGAAGGTTTACCTGCATGGCGGTATGTCAGGCAGTACCCTCTTTGATGATATGTATGAGTACAGTGTAGGTGAGTGAACGAAAGTGTTGTGTGATTTGCATGGTAGTTTATATTGGTATCAGACTGAAGATGCTCAAACCTAGTAGGACTTTGGGGAAAAGAACCTCTGAATTTTACAAAGCACATAAAGTTCTAATGATTATTCCATGATTAGCATAACCTCTTTGTTTAACATTCCCTGACACAAAGTTTGTATTGAGCACGATTGTTATGATGATTTTTCAGCAGATTGTTGGAAGAAGATAAACAAGTAGAGCACAGAATTACCATAGAAAAAAAGGAAGACTTTAAAAATGATAAAAGGAAAGGAAGGAAGAAATAACCGAGAGCTCTTAACAAAAAATCACATGTGCAGTAATAACAATTCTTGGCAAAAGTTACACCTGCATGTTCCACTTCCATTTCCTACCCAATCTGTATTAGAAAGGTACTAGATGGAAACTATAAAAGTAAAGCTTAATCAAAGAAAGGAGATAAGCATCTTTTTCTGTTCCAGAAAGGATCCTGTTCAAAGTATATTCCTCATTTTCTTTGTAGACACTGGTGTGTGGAAACTCGTGAAGACCAAAGGAGATGTCCCACCTGGTCGAGCTGCTCATGGATGCGTATCCCATGGCAACAAGATCCTCATTTTTGGTGGGATGACGCAGGAAGGTGGAGCCAGCGATGAATCTTTTATTTTCGACACAAGTAAGTTTGATAGAAGTCTCCTCTGATCTTTGATTGATTGGTTGATTTGATAATGGGTTTTGATTGCTTATTGGTTATTCAGCATTGAATGAGAATGAGTAGTTCCATGTACATTCTTGATTATTCATTTCCTGATATTTCTTGCAAAATGCCAAATCCAGTTACAGCCTGATCAGTGCATAGCAACTAGTTGCAAAGCATCAAATAAATTAATGACAAAAAAAATACAGCCTTGGGGGAAATAGAAAGTACCATTCGTGCCATCTCAGTTTACACTAGCTTAAACAGACCAATTAATGTCACTATTTAATTAACTACCAGAGTAGTATGGTTTCTGTTGTTGTCTTAAGAATAGAGTATGGAGGCCAAAAGCAAATATGCAAAAAATCTAAAAGATTTTTGGGCAATGATGAATAAACTTAGCTACCCATAATTTGAACCATTTTGTACATGTAATAAGTAAAGGAGTGTAGGATGATCCAAGAAGGAGGAATGGTTGGGCTTGTATATGGTATATAGCACCACGAAATACAGATTATTATGTTATTGACTTGTTTTCACACACTGTGTATCCTTTCCAGAGCCCCTTTGTTTTATAGTCCATTAACATTTCAGTGGATCCCTCCATTTCCACAGGTTTATTTTTAAAAAACTTTTAAATACCTATTATACTGGATATTTATGTATACTCTCTATTTATTACCTTTAAACAATGTAAAATGTTTTATATTATTAAATATTGAATTTTATATCTGATTTCTTGTCAAATCACTGTTCTGTTGGAAATGAAAAATAAAACTGAAACTGAAACTGAACTGAAAGATTAGTTCCCACTCTGCAGGAAAGTCGAGGTGGCTCAAATTCAAACCAGATGGACCCCCACCAGCCCCACGGCTTGACCACGCCATGTGCCTCCTGACCCTACCCTGTCCCAAGCAGACGTCCCAGTCCTTGACCAGCAGACAGAATGGAGCGGGAGCGGCTGCGGGGTCAAATAGTAGTGCGCCCTCTGTTGCTGACCCGTCTAGAGCAGCGGAGGAGTTTCTGACCTCTTGTGTGGACTCTGTAGCTGAGCAGATGTCAGGGGGTATGTACTGAAGTCGCTTTTTCAGTTTGGTTTTGGTGGTGTTAAATCTGTGGACTTAATTCAAAAGGAAAACAATTACCGGTACAGTCCTTTGATTTGGATTTGGGCTTGGATTACCTAGGTATAGTGTTTGGTCTAGGGTAGAATTGAGAAGTTTGTTTAGCATAGCATATTTATCACAAAGCAATTTTCAGAGCATGTGACATAGAACAAAACAAAAAAAAGAAATATAGAATAACAATGGACATTTACTACCCAAGTGTAAAAAAAAGAAGTGATAATTGTATAGTACAGTCAAACCTGCTTTAGTGACCACCTGTCTACAACAATCACATTTTTTGTTTCCCTTGAAAATGGTTTCTCATTGAAACATGTACTAAAGGAACCTGTCTACAAAGGCCACTTTTGTGTTTCCCTTGGGCGGTCGCTGTAGACAGGTTTGACTGTACATCCATTTTATTCTAGAATAATACTCAAAATAATTTGCCTTTTCTCCTTTCTAGATTCAGGAGAGGGCGGCCCAGGTGGTGCAGGAGCAGCACCGAGTGCAGTACCTGGTGAGGCTACGCTGTGCTGCGTGGTGCAAGGTGGAATGGACACACAGGGGGAGATCTTTGATGACTGTCTCATCTTGCGGTTGGACAACCTCCTTCTTTGAAATGACCGTAGGAGGAATTATGTCGCTGATGAATTATTTAACACCTTGAGCCCATTGCAACTTCAAAAGAGGCAAATGCAAAGCACCACCATGCAATAGTTGCCTTATCATCTTACCACGCTTTGGTTATTACTGTTCTGCTGCCATGGCAAGGGACTCTGAAAAAGTTGGATCATTCTTGGGAAAGTTTACATTCTTCTCTGAAATGAATGTAGGCATTGCATGGCTGATGATATCTACTTGTCTTGAGCCCTAGCTTTAAAGTAATATATGCAAGACACGACCATGTGGCAACAGTTTCCCCATCTAAGAAGGTGCCCTAGTTGCTACAAGTCTACTGCCTCAGTAGGGACACTGTGGAAATGTACGGCCATCCTTTTGACTTTCAAACTCCTCTGAAATGACTGTACAAATAATAATATTCGCCTTTTATATAGCGCTTAATACATCTCGGATGTCTCTAAGCGCTTTACAGATATACTATTACCCTGGCCATTGGATTCACACTGTGTGCACAATCTCCACTCCCTGGGGAGCATTCCAGCCAGGCGTTACTTGACGCCCAAAAACTGTTTGACCAACAATGACGGTCGCACCCTACCGGGTACCCATTTTAACACCTGGGTGTAGAGTAGCAAGTGTAGGTTAATAGCTTGCCAAAGGATATTCGTGCCGTGTCGGGATCTCCAGTCAAGCACTTTAAACCACTCGACCATGACACTCCAAGGAAGAGCTACATCGCTGATGAAGTCTGCATCATGAGCTCAGCTTCCAGAATGATAAAGAACCACCATGGGACAGTGGCCTCATTATCTAAGGACGTCCATTGATTGCTACAGTTATGCTGCCACAGTCAGGGGACTCTGAAAAACCTCAGTAGGAGCACTGTGGAAAGTGGGTCCATCCTTGTGATTTTTCATCTTTGCTGAAGTTTCAGTAGAAGCAAGAACATCTCTGATCATTTTTGTTAGTACACCAAGCAATATGCAAGATGAAACTTGACTCGTTGAGTACTGACTTCTTGCATTATCATTGGCTTTATACAGGGAACACCCGGTTCCTGTATGTAATGGGTTAATTGCCCTTGGTCCTTTATTGTGCCAGAGTGGCAGACACCTAGTTGCGTAATAATAATAATTGGATTTATATAGCGCCTTTTCCGAAGGATACAAGGCCTTGTCTCTTAGACTATCAATAATTTAAGAGCATAGTTGCCTCGTTATGCATGATATCGTCTGTCTTGTTCCACAGGGGCATTACCTCTGTGTTAAAGTGTATGATTTAATGCCCTCCTGGCTCCATATAGACAATAAGTAGGAATATATTATGATGGACATTTCTTGAAAATATGATTTCTATTTAGAATCAAATTTCATTCCTGAATATTAAACTAAATATAAGATTTATGTTCTTTCTGTCTACCTGTTATATACTGGTAGTCTTTCTGATTCCGTCCAGTTTCAATGTGTACTTGCTCTTTGATGGGATTATTAAAAATACCTATATCTTTCAACAAATATTGCTTTGAACTTTAGCATGGACATTATAAAGTCAAAATTCAGATTATATTTCAAAATGTTGTGAATGTCACATTGATTTAGATTTTAAAAAACAAAAAATTACTCCAAGGACTGATTTCTTTCATTCATTAATCATTGTGTAATGATCAGGTCATAAATAATTGGTAGTTGTAAAGGGGGGGGGGGTGTCTTGCCACTTACTATACCTTGAATTAACATTGAGGTTATTTGGTATGACTAATCACATCCTTTATTGGTTAAGAATTGATTTTTGATCATATTTTGTGGGTGTGAAATGTTATGTATTATGACATTGTGATAGAATGTATTGTAAATAAAATCATATTCTTTGCAATTTATCTATTGTTGTTAAAGACAGTTGTTTATGAAGATGTGATGTCACCAGTCTTTGTTCCAATACCATACTGCACTGATATTAGCACAAGTATCTCAACATTTAAAAAAAAATATATATATAGTGAAATTCAGGAAATCAATGCCAATATTATCCTTGATATTAAAACAATGTATTTTCTGGCAATAAGAATATAATTTTTGGGAAGAAATATTATCCTTTTAAATAACATGTTTAAATATCTAGAGCATTGATGGTAAGTGCATCTTCAATATTTCTGAAATAAATATTTGTACAGTTTGTTTAGTGGGTTTGTAGAATCAGTTTCAAAATAAGACAAATTCTCAGTAAATAACTTCCAATATACTGGCACATACATATACCCCCTCAAACTCATTGATTATGTGGATGTAATTCAAAGACAATGTCAATGCACTTCAATTGTTATTCATTGAAAACAAAGCTGTTGAACTCTTACAATATATTTGCCCCCCCCCCCCCCCCATATGATAACTGGAATTTTTTTTACTTTTCAACCCTAAATTGGACAGATAATTGGCAAAATATTAGTTTTTGCCTCACTAAAATATGACCTGGAGATGAGACAAAAATTGTACAATGATTTTAAAAATAGGAGAAAAAATACATCTCGACTATAAATACACCAGTCATGATAAGGATTGTTAATCATGATTATTTTACAAAATGAATAAGTTTTGGATGATTGCTGGAAATTACATATTTTTCTACTTTGGAAATACGTTTTACCCCATTTAGTTTATTCAAGCACAAGAAGAATTAATAAAGTTATTCTTCACTCCTTGGCTTATAACCAGTTGTAACATGATCGAAAGACGTTATAACATCAATCAGTCAAAAGCAATTTCAATAGCCTTGCCCGTAATCCATTGAAAAATGCTAACCGTACTGATGTCTTACATGTTTTCTATGGGATAATTAAAACAGGTTATGAAATTATATATATGTCTTTATGTGATCATGTTTCATTTGAATTAAATCTACCTTGAACAAATATTACAGCAAGGACATAATAATTAGTACATCACATTAAGATGAGTGTTAACAAAATCTTGAAGGAAACATGGACAATTTCAGTTTTAATACATGTTATATAAAAGACGGAAGGATATAGAGGTTCGACCTACTGAAAGAGTTGATAGCGTGAACGGCTGTTTAGTAATCGGCTGATAATCTAGTATAGATCATACGAGACACAATTTTGAGAGTAGGTCTACTTGAGTATGCATGTCTTGAGAGTGTGTCCATACAAGGTATTTTCTCCTGGTAAATGGGGATACTTCTGTTGTTTTATTTTTTTTTGTACCTTGGTAATACTTTTTCTTTCCTCCCTGAAACACAAGTGAGGAATTTTAATATGGATTGCTGCCGCAAAGTCTGCTGTCCCGAAGGGCACATCCAGGGCACATCCAGGGCACATCCTTGCAAGGCCAATATTTATAATTGGACAGAAAGAAAGAAAAAGAAACAAGCGACAAAACAACAGCAACCCCCCCCCCTCCATTTATGACCTGGTCAGTAATGTTGTGTTTAAAATCAAACACTTCAGCGCTTCATTTACACAACAACCAGTCGCCATTTCAAGGGCGTGATACAATGAAAAAGAAACAGATCGAAGATGACAATTATTTTGATTCTATGTCGTTTTCTATGTCGTTATGTCGTATTTTCGTTCCCTAGCAAATTTCACCCCCCCCCCCCCAAAAAAAAAAAAACCCGAGCACTTCTGTTCAAACCATGGAATAAAAACATTGTATGGACAACACCATCAATTGCAGAGAGCCTGCATGCTATAGATTTATGCGATGAGTATCGAGTTTCTGAGCAGACTTTTCCGGATGTCAATTATCTCCCACCCATCGTATCATAATGATTGTTGAAAACCATAGAATTGTTCCCCTTTCCGCCCCCTCACTTCACTTTCGAATTTCCTGCGTGCCTCAAAGGATTACCACAAGGTCAGGTCAATGTCAAAGACTGTGACAAATTTTGATAAATACTATTACAAAAGTGAGCACGATGGCACTCAATGTTTGGCAAGGACTATTGGAAAGGAATGTGTTATTCTTTAAGTTTGATTTGTTAATCGTTTCACTTTCCTTAAATGATAAATGAAATTTAATAAAAAATTGTTATCTGTTCTCGTTATATGTTACAAAACAAACTTAGGGAAAATGATTTACAGATAATATAGAATATGAGGAGTAGAAGAAAAACAAGATCATTAAGAAAAAGAGTTGAGAAGGAAGATAAAAAATGTTATGGCAGAACACAATGTTGATGATACAATTACATTAATGATGACATTAGCAATGACGTAATCTACGACGGCGACAGTCGGCAACAGTAAAGGCGACCACAATGATGAAGAACGTTAGTGATTAAAGAAATATACACTTCTATAAAAGGATTACGTATATCCTAATCAAATGATATAATTATTGGTCGATGGCTAATACGTGAACAGTCACTTTATTTCCTTAAGGCCCGGTCACACAGCCCTCCACGGGCGTATCGCGGCCGAATCACGGCCAAAAATTTCTGCCCGTGAAGCAGACGCTGTTGGACGCTATGAGGTCGCGATAAAGACGCGATACAGCCGTACTTTACCCGTCGTTACACCCGTTACACGCGGTAAGAAATTCACACGCGGTTGGCCGCGCGAAAAAGTTTTGGGCTGCCCAAAAATTTAGACCGCGGGTAATCGCGGGCGGTACACGTGGTACACGTGGTACACACGCGGTAAAGACGCGGTACAGACGCGGAACGAACGTGCTAGGACGTGCTACGGCCGCGGTTAAGACGTGGTTACACGCGGAATTGGACGCGAAATTTTAGCGGGTAATCGCGGGTGGAGCACGCGGTCATAGCACGTTTGTTCCGCGTCTGTACCGCGTTGTTATCACGTGCATTAGCGTGTGTACCGCGTGTAAGCGTGGTAGGCCGCGGTACCGCCGCGCTTCACCCGCGATAAGGACGCGGAACAGTCGCCGGCGTCTGTTCCGCGGGCATACCACGGGTAAACCGCGGGTAAGCCAATTTTGCACATTTTCCACCACGGGCAACCGCGGGCAAAAAAAAAATCGCGAAATTTTACCCGCGATACAGACGCGAAAGGCTGTGTGACCGGGCCTTAACGTTAATCGCTCAATCGAAAAATGTAATTTACCGGTCGTTAGCATTCAGGCTAATGACCGATCGGTAAAACGTCTAATAATCTTCCTCTGTTATGTTATTCAACTCCCGGATTCAACTTCGTTCGGTCGTGTAACCCATCGGATCCTTGTCAAAATTACACTTTTTCATATAACGAATGACTCATCGTTTAATGTGCGGGCATTAGTATAATATCCACCCTCGCTACCTTCGAAACTGCCCTGACATACATCCTCGGCTATCACCTCGGGTGTTGGACTGTTCCAAAGGAACCTTGTGGAGATAATCCGTGCTAATATCCACCTGTTACATATTACTTGTATATCATCGAATGAAATAGATATTGTATTTCAATGAAAATCAGAACAAAAGCTTTTCATGTAAGCCTTTACGGTTATCATATTTTTCCATAAAGTCGGCTACCTTGACATTCTC